ATCCACTCCCAAACCCAGCATAAGCAAGGGCAGGATGGAGTGCACAGGACCGTAAGCGATCCCGAAGGCGGAGCAGAGGCCGAAGGACACCCCGACGGCCATGAAGGTAGCCAGGAGTCCTAGTAAGGAGAGGACGGGCTGTTGGGGAAGTATAAAGGGTAAATATTAATTAGGTAGTTAACTGTTTCTCCATTTTAAGTGCTTGTATTATCGACTGCTTGATTTGTCATCTGCTTGCTCTCTCTCTCTCTCTCTCTCTCTCTCTCTCTCTCTCTCTCTCTCTCTCTCTCTCTCTCTCTCTCTCTCTCTCTCTCTCTCTCTCTCTCTCTCACACACACACACACACACACACACACACACACACACACACACACACACACACACACACACACACATTGGCTTAATAAATATAATGCTGAAAAAAAATATTTTGATAATTAACAACAACAAAAAGAACAACAATAATAATAATGATAACCAAACAACGATGAAAATAAAAATAATAACAATAATAATAATGCTAGTGATTATTGTAATGATTATAACAATAATAATAGTAATGTTTAAAGAGCGTCTAAAATATAGTCAAGAACTAATAACAATAATGATAATAGTATCATCAAACAAGTAACATTATTAATAACATCATTATTATTAATGATATATAATTACATGACCATTTATTACCATATAAATGAACAATATTGCCAACTGAACTGGAACTCACCCTAGTCTCGACCATATTGAACTTGCCCAGCATCAGTTGCACGTACACGAACAATATAATGTCTCCTATGACCAAGAAGGCAACATCTCCCAGTATTGTTTCTCCACTGATTTCGCCGAAGCTGAGAGAAATAATTATGATGTGTAATGGTAGGTAGGGATAGGGTGTTGAGATATAGCAAAAAAAATGGATGATGGCAATGTAAAGTATGTATGATATTTCCACTAATTTCTAATGTTGAAATCCATTACGAAATCGTGCATATTATAAGTAGTGTTAAGGTGATGTGTAAGCCGTGTTTTTAAAATAATTATATGGTCTCAAAGGCAACATAATGATTTGACAACTTTTCTGTGTAGATATAGCACTTGTCCAGCATACAGTAACAATATGTCAACACGTTACCTATATTAACAGTACAGCCAGTTATATACCTGTCTTAATAATATAGCCAGCTGCGTATATTAATAATACAGCCACTTGTCTATATTTATAAACACAGAACCTTTTAACAAGACTAACCGTCCAACATGCCAAGGAAACATCCTATTCACACATCATTAGTATCTTCTTACCTTCTTTGCGCCTGCAAGTATACCTCGAGTCCCTCCGGTCGTCCTGTGTCGTTCCGAAGAAGGGAGATGAACTCGCCCTCCCAGTCATATAATGCCATGTCCACCTAGAGGGAAGGGGAGGAAGAGGAAGGGGAGTGAAAAAGTCCTGGGATGAGTGGTCAACTAGATGTGACAACGTGAATCTCCCCCTCTCTCTTATTTTTATTATATTCTCAGTGTGACACAATCCCCCAGCGTCGTTCGTTAACATCCCCAAGTCAATCTCTGTCCGGTTGATTCTCATGACGATCTGAGTCAGTGTGGTTTTAGCGCCGATCACCTGCCCAGATTCGTCTCTCTCTATACCTCCCAGGAAAGCTTGAAAATCCATGGGGTATGCGTACGTTACGCTGGAAGAGATGGTTTGTGGTTATTTTCCTGTTTGTTTTGACGTGCATGTTGTTGTTTTTTTCTTTTTTGTAGTACTTGACATTACACAACGTAGTAATGTCAAGTAGTATTTACTGAATCTCTCCGTAGCTAAGGCGAAAGGATTGAGCCATCTCAGAAATTTCTCGTCCCATAATTTATTCGCATTGAAATTTGCCAATATCTGAAGTTCACTTACAGGAGTATTCCGTGTGTTTGAACAAACTGTTCAGAATTGTTTAAACATTTCTTCATGAACTGATCCTACAGCCAAGTGTTTAAACGCTTTCTCTAGCATAACTCTTCATCTTTACCCAGGTATTAGGTACTTTTTATACTAACGTCGTGTTTTATTAATCATTCTTGGAGTTACCATGCCTTATCTTTGTGTTTTGTAATCCACTGATAAAAATGTCTGGGAATGTACACTGTCTGACCATAAAAAGAGTTTAAAATGTTCCAAAGGCAATCATATTGTGAAAATTTGGTTGATGATGATGAAATTTATATTGGTTATGCTGAAAGATTATGATTATAACTCCATTATTTCCACCACCATCACCACCACCACCACATCATCATCATCATCATCATCATCATCATTATCACATCACACCACCACTATCATCATTACTGCCATCATCATCATCACCACCATCATCACCACCACCATCATCATCACCACCATCATAATCATCATCATTATGTTCCCGCTGTTGCTTTTCCTCCCAAGGATAACCTAAGATACCTCATCCTTTTGAAATGTCATTTTTTTGTCTCAATAAACGTG